AGTTAAAACATTTGGAATGAGGTTGGTCTACATTCGACAAACTCTCGAAAAATCTTTAATCAATATGCAATATCGAAATACAGCATGGAAATGTTCTGCAAGACAAGCAATGTAGAGAATACGGAGGAAACTAGAACCCGGAACCTTTATCAATGAACACCTTGCAGTCATATAATAACTATATGAAATTTAGAATAAGTTATTATTGCCAAAATATTTTAACTGAAAACTCAACTAACCAGTGACTTCTCTTTTTGCATCTGACAAAATATGATCAACTGCAATTACTTTTCTACACAATTCATTACTTAACTTCATCAGAAGATCCAACTGACACAACAAGATGAGATGTTTCCATAACTATTTCACAATGACATCCCTCATATCCCTTCCAGATATTCTACATTAATATGACAACAATTCCCTCCCAAAAAAATAGCACAAGCAAAAATCATAAGACACAAATCCCTGGCGTATAAAACACCTGTTTCCACAATTACACAACACAATACCTACACTTTGTTTACTCTACAGAAGTTAAAATATTACAATGAACTAACGTGATATTTTAAAGACTAACACGTGCTCTCTCGTCGATTGCTGTACTGGGTAGATGTTGAGATTGAACTGTCGATGTTATAGAGATCGTTTTCCACCCAAAGGAAAATATTTATGGTCACAGAAACAATAAAATTATTGATACCTTAAGGTGTCAAAATCAGCGTCCAATTATAACAATAGTTAGTTGTCTATAATATTCCCGTTTTATCGTATCATAATGGAAAATGTACACAATACACCTTGAAAGGTCAAAATTGAAAGGACAACCACCTCAAGCATGAAGAAAATAAAAGAAAAGACGTTTGGTTTTCATTCAGCATAACTCTATATAAACAACTGGTTGTTGAAGTCACCTTTACGTAATGAAATCGTGACACACCAACTTGAACCTCAAACTCTAATCAAATTAGTTTTGGTACATGGTTTGTGCGTTACTCGTTTCATGTCAGCAATCCATTCAACAGAAAGACTTTTCTTACAACGTTTATACTATTTGCACTTTATTTAAAAACCAATACTGTTTTCAGAGCTTCCCTTTTATACTATGTATGTCTTTTCTACATGGCAAAGTCACAAGAAAAGACGAGTCGTCTTTTTAACTTTCTAAGCTGTGAACACTATTACTGATTTGCTTAGCTAAAAAAAAATTCCAGTTTCTGAGACTAACGTACGGTTGATCTAACGGATAGCAAACATGTCCCTGTTCGCCCATAGAGGTCACCACTATATTCCTTCTTCTTGCAGAACCTCCATCTTCACCATCCTATTTTTCTCCACGAGACCCTGAAGATCCGTTGACATCATCTCGTCTACTAACCAAATCACAGACGCCATTTCTCCAACCACCAAAACCAATGACAGACAGCCAATTATTCAAATTAATATGGAATATTTTAGAAGTACAGAATCGGATCATCAAACCTTTTTTTTATCGACATTAATTTTGAAGCATAACGAATTTAAATCGTAACCAGCTACCTACATCCATGGCGTCCATCCACCAAAAAACTTCAGCCAAGCTCAGAAACTAATTTTAACAGCATACCATAATTACTACAACGATCAGCTTTACCTGTATTCTCATCTACATTCAACAGAATCTCCACTTCTTAAATAATATGATAACGGATTCGAGCCAACTATCATCTGGCACCGGGATACAGGGGCGGAGACAGGTTTATGTCCAAAGGGGGCGAGATATCTGAGATTGCCCGAATCTCTAACCTACAATTATGCAATTTCTGTTCGAAAAACTTGCTTTCGGGGCTGCGAGGGGGGAAATCGGGAGCGGGGCTCTGCTTAGGAAACGTAAGCCGCGGCTGCTCAGTGAGTTAGACGCTTGCTCGCTAACCTGAAGGTCCAGGGCTCAATCAACCCGGTCTTTTCAACTCGGTTTCCTCCTGTCATTGATGCTAAGAGAGGCTGACGTGAAAGGTGAAGAATCTTGCTCACATATAAATATTACAAATTTCAAATTAACAGAGGAGACATGTAACATAACTGAAATAATTGGCGATTAACGTCTTTCTTTAAAATAGAAACAATTAACATATTTGTAAAATCATTAAACGAAGTATATCTGTAGGTCATCTTATAGAGAAAGATTAAACCATATAAACCTAGAAATGAACTAGAGGGCAGTTTTCTATTTTATAGTCTTATTATATTATTGTTTGAGATTAGAGATCCAGCCATATTAAATTTGCTAGCCATATTTTATTGTTATGTGGGCCATGTGGCAAGCTATCTTGTACAAATTTTAGAGAAGAAAAGTCAAAGTTAAGTCCGCCATCCGTTTGATCACTGTTTTAGCTTATCTAAATGGTGTTCAAATCTAACATCGAAATTTTGGCATTGAAATCCATGCGAATACAGAATTATCCGCGTTGAAAGTTAAAACGACGACTCGTCTTTTCTTGATACTACGCAATAGAAAAGACATAATATAGAAGAAAGTGAAATTCTAATGTAAAGTATATTTGAAGGTAATATGAGATTTTTCGTGCAATTCTGGTAGTTCTTAAAACTGTTTACACATAATTTACACATTCTTTTGACGAGATTTATGATTGACGGAATTTTTCTTGAAGACTCAAATCAACCGCTGAAATTGGCGAACGTGGCCTTAAAAGTCCAATTTGAAATTGCAGGAATGCAAGTTGAAACGAATAATAAAGATGTTTATATATAGCGAAATGAAGAACACTGTCATTAAAGAGACATAAATGTTAAATAAGTTGGATTTACATGGTAATAAGTAGGTAAAAACGGTTTCTAAAGCAGGGCAACATAAGAGAACATGAAATTCATCATCAACAACCTTTATATAACAGTTCTTATTTGTCATTTTAATGTGCATCTGTTTACATCCCTGTTTTAATAGCCAGACTATGTGCACTACATCAAAATTATGTTATTTAATTATATATTATGTTATTCTCTATATTTTTTTTAGGTATAATTTAATTGTTTGAATAAGGTTTTAAAGTTAAAATAATACGTGAATAGGTTATAAATGTATAATTTAGTTGAATTTTTTTTTAACTCGTTTTGAATAATAATATCATATCGGACTTTGGTGTGAGTCAAATGTGTCGCATATCTATTGATCACTTGTTACTACCATATAACATGCAGTGTATGTTTGTGTGTGTGTCTTTTCAACTAAAATCATACTAATGACTAACTAATTTTCACATAATTAATAGACTTATCCATTGCTCTGTGACCTTGGCCAGTGCTTTCATTGAGACTCGTCTCAATACACCCTAACACTAGCATGCTAGTAGAGCCTTCGACCGATTTTGCCATTTAAATCAAAAACCCTTGAGTTCCACCCAAATATTGCCATCTTTTTAATGTGTCGTCTTTTTGGTACACAAATATCGATAAAACTTCAAAATCAACACACTAAGCTTGGAATTTTTTAATCCCCTTAAAAATTTATGGAGTGAACCGATATGTACAGACAGTCCATGGTCTAGCTGGATTAAAAGCGGTCCACAAAGGATGTGATAGAAACCCAGACCCAAACAGATATGTTTAAGTAATTTTTTAGCAATCTGATCTTAATGCATTTATGGGTGTTTCGTTTCATACTTTATTTGCAAGTTACTGCACTGTCTTGTCATATTGATCTGACAAATTTTTTCCTTAATCATGTCCAGTCGGAATTTGCTCAATTTGATCAGATCGTGAATGGCAAGGGGAGGCACCCTTAAAGTTTTGGCAACGAATCTCTTCCATAAATAACAGATTTCATATACACGGTGACAAAATTTCAACGAGGATAGCACTAAGGAAATGAAATGAAATGAATGAATGGAGTTTTACGTCCTACTCTTCAGCACCAATAGCACCAGGGAGGGTTGATGTTGAGTATCAAAAGACCTACAACGTTGCTATTTTTCTATAATTAAATATGTCATTGTACATCTCTTACCTGTGATTGGAAAATATTTACCAGATTTATCCATCTTAAATATAGCTGTGTTCACTCAATTAACAAATCACCAAATTACATCATGTACAAAAATTAAAAGTTATGGCGATCACTGAAAGGTTAAAATGAAATGTTTTCAACAGTTATTGACCGTGAATGGTAGTCCTAAGTTATTCAAATAGTTTGTTTTCAAATATAGATACATGACATCTTCATCGGCGTTTCTGTTCAAACATCACATCAACAAACCAAGGTCAAACGTACGTGTTTTGGTTGACTTCGTCGTTCTTCTTACAAATCGGCAAATAATGTCGCATATCTATAAGCTTATTAATATATACTTCGACTTAATAATACAATAAATTTATTCGAAAACTTTTTTGTCCGTAAACATTTAATATGTAGGCTGTATTGGTGAGATCCGATGAGTTCGATAAGTCATATTTCGGATGAACGGTTTTTGAGTTATTTCCCTTTACCTTAAAATCCGGGAGTCAACGCAATCGACAGCAGACAATTTGATTAGGATTTTAACCACATTTGACATGCTTCTACACACGATTCCTTGAATAAGTTGATACTAAAAGTTAATGAGTAAACGGTAGGCGATGTTGTTTATCATTCTGCTTTTTTATAACCAAGGTTGCTTGATAAGATCTGATCATATTACAAGTGAAGGCCGTGATATGCTGGACAAAAAATATGCACAAATGGAAGTGAGATTATTGGAGGCGAGATCAAGTGCAGCCCAGTCCCCATGGACCAACCCTAAATCTGTGGTTAATTTTTTATATATGTCCCAAAGGAACAGTTCCAAAAGTATAAAATCTGACAGTAGAAATGGTAATACGGTAATTACTTTTTTCAAACAAAAATAGATTGCTATTTTCTAGTTTGGGTTAATTATTGCAGCTAGTTATAAGTAATAATCAATAATTGATAAGCGTCGTGCTACACAAGTCCTGAAGGGTCATGTCATTAATAAAAACTTTTAACAAAAACCAGATAAATTATTTAATAGTTCACCATTACAATACAAACAAAATATATTTTAAACTGAAGTCTTTCTTACTGTGAGAAGTACATCAGCCAACCATCCTGTGTAAAAACACTACAGTAGGTATCATATTCACAATGAAATGTTGGAAGACAGGGGTGATGACAAATTAAAGTTTATGTATTAAATTTGTGAAGATAATCAAAATTTAGCTCAAGATATCTCTTTTTTTTTTTATCTTTGGTGGACTAATGACCTCAGACATCCTTTCTTTATAACCCCATCATTTCCAAAAATACTTTAACTTTGAGGGTCTGTAACTTTAGAACCTATTGACATAGGGCATTTACGTAGAAACCAGACTTTGGCTACCCAACTAATGGTTTTAATAGGCCAAGCTGAGGACGAAAAATTAATCAGGAAAAATTTCAAATTTTGACCCCAACTTTTTTATCTCTTTTACAAAAGAGTTAATTTGTGGAGTTTGAAACTTGCTACAAAGTTTTTGTTTCTGCCTGAAGTGCAAAACTTTTACCAAGACATCCAAGATTTCACAGAGTAGAATTCACCAAGATAGATTTGCTGTATCAATACCTTTATACAAATATGTACATTAAATTTTAAAAATTCACAAGAGTAATAAATTCAGTTCAGCCAGAACTATTTTCTGATGACCACTATGTGAATATGTTCCAACATAACCTAGCACCAAACACTAAACATTTTTCAATATGCACTATTCATAGATGAGCATGATATCATACTGGCAGGCGTTAAACACTCAGAAAAAAATTCTCAGATTATCACTTAAGTGTATCATTCTTACCTTGTACTGAACAAACAAACAATGAATAGCAATTTATCAAAAACAGCTTGCCAAAACTTGAGAGCAAAAATCAAAATACATTAAATTATAAAGATTTGAAGTCTTATTCAATAAATATATTGCATGTTGACTAGGTTTTATCAAAAATGAATAATTTTGGAAAGTTTACAAAGCACTACTTTCATGTTTTTAAAGATTCATCCAAGTCTGACTCTGATCAATGACTCAGATAAGGTCAGCTCCATGTTAAATCAAACCAGGTTCTTCAACTCTCCCACAGTTCAATCTTGCCCAAAATCTTTTAAATACACACAAATAAACCACAGTTTCATCAAAATATATCATAATCTTAAATGGAAATTCTATATTAGTTTTAAAAACCCACGATATTTCAAGTCACAAAGGCTCCCTTTCTCAGGGACATGAAATGTTAGTTGAAGATCAGTGATGTCACTTCCCTTGGTACGTTTAACCTTGCTTTGCATGACAAGAATCCAATATGGCTTCACAAAATGATGATCGTTCAAAAATGAAGATGCAGTTAGTCAAGGAGTTGAAGGAAATGTTCAATAAAATAGAAGAAACACAAACCATTTCACAAAGTTTTTTACTGATCCATTTTTAGTTGATCCAAATAATGTGGATACTCTATAGCACAACACATTAACACCATTTCTATTCATACAGATATGAAATAACTAGAGATGTGTTGAATTCGGTTGATAAAGATGGATTTCAGTTTGTGAAATAAGTTTTGTTGTTGTTTGGATTGTAGTTGGTATCTACGATCCAGCTTCTTGCTCTTGACCCAGACCTTCTAAAATAATTCCCATTGGTGTTCTTTTTAATCCTACATACTCCATTTTATTAGTTATCTTGTTCTTTATGCTCCTCATTCTTAATGAAGCATGAATTAAAATTACTGAAAGGAAAAATAAAAATTCACATAAATAACAGAAAGCACCGAGAGATAAGCAAATAAATCTTGAAATGGATTTTTCAAATATGATGCCAGTAGATGTTTTCATAGGATCCACAAGAGTTGAAGCATAGTTAATCTTAAAACTTATCTTTCCAAAATTAATTCGGAAAATCCAAATTCGCTGGAAACTATCGATTATCAAAAGAAATCTTGCCAGGCATGGTATCATATGTCCACTGGTATCTTTGTCAAGGCTTGAAAGTAGACATGACATTGTCCGGTACAATCTATCAAATGTTTTGAATACAAAATCTGAGGCCCAGCACCAATTCATTCCTGGAGACGGGACTGGGTATATTGTTTATTGTATACCTTAAAGGTATTTCTTGGTTAAATTTTGAAGGCATTTATACACAAGATCTGACACGACAAGACATAGAAACCATAAAAATTTCATAAACTATACTATTATGAATTTCTTTATTAGGTTTAAGAAGATTTATAGGATAACCGTTATGATCATCTTTGATTTAGTTCATTGCATATTAGCATCACAATTATTGTAAACATAACTTTAACCCTGTGCCAGTGCCTTATATTGAATAGTAACTGGTTACTCTTCAATCACCCTAATCTATAAACTATATATACTGGATACAGCCCATCACTACACAGCACAACTTATTCCCATGTTTTATTGTGTCTATTGTGTTGTGCTGTACCTTGTATTGGATCTGGTTTGGAAGCACCTAACTCAACAGGTTTTATTTAAAGATATCAATAATATGTTTACTTACAAAGAAGTGGAAAAGCTATTCCAAATATAAAAACTATCACAGCACCAAACATATATACTAATAAATAACCACCAACTAATATCAAAACAACACTAACAAGAGGATGATCTCGTTTAAATTTTCTGGCCTTCCACTGGTTATTAGTAGAATAAACAAATCCACCAAAGGCTACTGATATTGCAGCGAAACCAAACACCATCTTTACTGGATGAATGAGTCTGAAAGAGTAATTTCAAGCCTTCTTTGCATTGCTATTTATAATAATGGATATAAAGCCTATAGATAAAAATCTCCTATTGTGACCTAGGCCAGTGCTTCTATAGAAAAGTACCTTCTATAACACCCAATAGTGTTAGCAATAGTGGGCCTAATTTATAGATCATATCAATATATTGGTAATTGTTAGAGCCCCTGTAGACAGTAGAGTAGGAACCGTCTACATATCTGACTAGGATGGAGATAATTTGGGGCAATTTCTTTATTTTTACAACATTTAAGGCACAAAATTTAGTTTTTTACATGACTCAGCGACTTACTTGCACTTGACACAAATCCGTCATAAAATGATCAAAATAATTAAATTTCAAAATCGATTATAATTTATATGTCAAAGTTACATTTTCTCCACTGTACCCGTTAACATGTAGTAATCTCTTCCACATAGTTTCCCTTCGACACATTACATACCCACAATAAACTATAATAACTGATCAAAGCAAGAATATACTTCTATGACGCAAACATAACCCATGAAATTAAGAATTTGGGCATGTTTTTGATTATATTAACAGGGTTTCTCAATTGAATTATTTCTTGTAATCGATGCCCAGCCCTAGTCATGTAGTGGCATGGCATGTCAAGCCCTTGTTCAATATTGCTAACATATGACATGAGTGCAGTTTGACAGAAATGCCTGTGTGACAGTGTCAAGTGTAATAATGTGACGTGTAGTCCATAATCGTGTAATAAATCTGTACAAACCCAATAATCAGGAATAATATGAGAGCTGTCAAGAAATAGTTTGTTTGGTAGTACAAGAGATTGTTCAGAACTCTGTTAGACCATTTTTCTTGGTCTTTAATGTTAGGAATCTGAAATCTAGCCGAGCCGATGAGAAAATCTTCGAGGCCCCGCAACGGTGCCAGCACCACATCAGCCATTTTGTCAATATAATCGTGACAGGAATAGCCGGTCAGGTGGTAGATGGGTACATTAATTTTTTGGAATGGTTGTAATTTTAAAAGAATCAAAAAACGCAAATATTGGATTAAAATTAGGTACATAATCATGTAAACGAAGTTTTTGATAACGAAATTTCCAATACTGTCCCTTAATTGGCTTTCAGCAATTTCTACAACGTCTAATGCACAAATTTCGGTATATTACATTAATTTGTTCGCTAACTTGCCGATTCGTCTTAGCTAGCTTATTGTACGCTAACTTTAGCCCGGTGTTACTTCAATGTAAAAAAAATAAGGATTCTTTTGACATTATCATCAGAATCCTATGTTGCTGAGAGAATTTTTAGTGTGTTCAGGTGATATTTCTTTTCAATTAATGATGCAAGAACAATAAAAATGGAACCAACCCCATTAGAGCAGATAAATGCGAATCTAATAATAAGGATATTTACAAAATACTTGAAAAAGCTTTTCTCAGAGGCAGTGACTATTTACCACGTATTGCTAAATAGTTCAAGACCATCGTGAGGCAATTTACCTAAATTTTGTTTCCAAACAAATACTTGTTTTGCATAAAAAAAACCCTATCACATCAGAAACAATTGGTTGCCTAGCAGACAAACAACTAATGTATAGTAGCCAATATCTAATTCTTATTTAAATTCTGGGGCGAAACAGGATGGGGCAAAGTGGATGAAATAGGTAAGGGTCAAAATAGAATAGGGGCGTAATCGCAAAAGGCGACGTGAGAAGGGGCGATGTGGGAAGACACCAGTACCAGTATGGAAGACTGGTGTATCCTTGGAGATATAAGGGATGTGATCAGATGAATGAAAAATAATTGTGAATGTACTTTCTTTTTTGTTTCTGCTAGATCATAACAAATATGGCTGTGAATTGGCCTAGAAGATGGGGTCATGTGCAGAAATTGACAGAAAGATCTGGACCATTTGCTCATCCAGATTTCGAGGCCAGTGAAGAGGTTGGTAGCATCTTTTACTTGTTGTATTAGTATGATTTTCCATCAAACGATAGGTCACTGAACACAATGCTCTGGTTTTCAATTAATTTTCATAAAACTTGGTATGTAGATATGTTAATTTCAAATTGACTGAGTTAACCCTACTGATCCTGCACAGTGAAATACATTCAGCTTCTGTTGGTATTTGATAAAAAATCAGATGTGGGTTGATTTTTAACGGTTTCAAATGTTGAAACAGAGTTAATCCTGATAATTTATATATTGTGTGATTTTACGATTTTCAACCAATTTTCATGAAACCTATTTTTCACAAACCAGTATTTTGGTGTGATCCACATTCTTTTTTTTTTTTTGTAGACATTGACTTTTCTGCAAGATACCTGTCATATACTGATTATTGGTGCTGGTGGATTAGGCTGTGAACTGTTAAAAGATTTAGTAAGTATCTAGTCTATATCCTGTTACACGGTAGTTTTCTGTTTGATATTTGGTACTCAGTGATGTTATTATAATCATACCTGGTAGATTGTCTATAGCCGTGTTTCTTAACATCAGTGACATCATTCCTCCTGGAAGTCTTCTTCCAAATTTATTCCTTCCCAAAATAAATCAGTCATTTTGAAACGTATTTCACTCAGAAAATGTATTTAACGATTAATAATGAATAGATATAAAATCATACTCTACATATCAAGATAGTTCAATGTAACCCTTTTGCCAAACGTTAGTTTATGATTTTCTGTAAGTCTATGGTGAATGACATCCATTTCAGTCGTTGATCACCAAGCCTCCAATTTCCTCCTCTGTCTGACGATTCCTCCCCATTTCAAATTCAAATTGCGCAAAATATAGACAAAATTATAGAGATTTCTAATCGTTGACCTAAATAGCATCAACAGTGGGTAAACACAATACTTCCTCATTTATTCTGTTTGTCACATGATCTATTGCAAATTTTAGCTACTCTGTGGTGATGTCATTAGATGGTCCTCTCTAGAAAATCCTGACACATATTTTGGAGAAAAAAGATAGACATTTAGATTTGTTGAAAATAAAGTGGGGGTACAATTTGGGGTTCAAACCACTTTTCTAGGGGAACAAATGCCCCCTCCTGTACCCCCACTGGCGCCATCATTGAAAATACATCCTGTCTTTACTGTTTTTAGGTTTTACTGGGAATAAGAAATATTGATGTTATTGATATGGACACAATTGATGTTTCTAACTTAAACAGACAATTTCTATTCAGGTAATTCTACGCACATACTTTCTGCAACGATGTGAACATATTTTCCACGTTTAGACGCAGAATTTTTCTGAAGATAAGTTGGATCAAATGATGCCATGTGGATGTAAAGTTACATGTCTATGAAAATACTATAACAAATATTCTAACTACTAAAATAGTGCTCAACTTCATATAACCAATAATATAAACACTAGTTTACTTTCTTATATAGAATACAATCAGAGATGCTAGAAAAGTTCTTATGAATATAATGGTGAGATTGCTACAGCATGAAAATGTTTTTACTTTTCAGACCTAAAGATGTGGGGAAAACAAAAGCTGAAACAGCTGCTAATTTTATAAATCAAAGAATTCCTGGAGCCAATGTGAAAGCGTATCCTTTTATATCAAAGACAAAATTCTAAGCAACTCTGGCCTAGGTATGATAATCCACCATCTTCTATGCCTACTGTTGCTTTTTGTTCTCATCCAGAAGATTTTGTTTTGATTATTATTATGCAGGCTGTACCAGCTTTGTTGCAATTTTTAAGTGGTAAACAAAATATTAATTCCTTTGGCTCTTGACTTTCAAGGGTATGCCCCCAGTGAAGTAAGTCGTAAACAGGGTATGCCCTAAACATACAACATTTTTCCCAGCACAAAATTCCTTTGAGTCGGACATTGGAAATTTTGTACAGAACATAAATAATATTTTGTGAATTGAAAAATTGCTTTATGTATATTCCCAATACCTCTCTAGGAATGGTAAAGTCGTTAAACAATAGATAACAAAATTAAATCATATCTTGTTGAAAAATTTGGGGAACTGAAAAAAGAATCATTCGATGTGGTAAGGAATACAAGAAAACTCAGACCACTTTGGAGAGTGGTGTTTCTTAATATCTCCTATTGTGAACTAGGTTGATATTTTGGGGGATTTTGGGGAGTTTTGTAGAATGAGATGCTGATAGTAAAGCTATAAACCATAGACTGTCATTTATAAACATTATTTAACCTTTACTATGATTAGCTATTTTGCAAAGATACAAGACTATGATACAGATTTCTATAGAAGTAAGTTGTTAGTTTTATTAAATTGTAATTGTAATTTATGTTTTTATATACCCCACATGGACATGGATCTCAGCCCTACTTAAGAATGTAGAAAGTTGCCAAACAATAGAGAAAATTGCCTCTGGGAAGATAGCTCAGCATTGGTTCATTTGTGCCTAAAGTTATCTGACAGCTTTTGGCCACCAGAGATCAAATTCTTGCATAAAGTTTTACTTTCTTTTCAGAATATCATATCATAGTGTGTGGATTAGATTCAATTGTTGCAAGAAGATGGATAAATGGAATGTTGGTGAGCAAACTTTATTTTTGACCTCAACTGCTGAAAGAAGCTACTGAGGCTGTCTCGAAAATCTTTACCTAATTACACACTGCATGCAGTCACATTGTCAAAAACACAAAATGGGGATCCATGATACATTCTTTATTATATTGGATTCAACATCTTTATCTTATTTTTATTTCAGGTAAGTTTAGTAAAGTATGAAGATGGAGAATTAGATCAATCAAGTTTAATTCCTATGGTAGATGGTGGAACAGAAGGTTTTAAAGGAAATGCTAGAGTCATACTACCTGGTTTAACACCATGTATAGATTGTACATTAGACCTGTATCCTCCACAGGTAAATATTTTTATAGATAGGAACTTACCTGTTCTAATTAGCCTTAACCTACGAACAGTCTAATTAGAATCAGACCAAACTTTTTTTTATTAGGTTATACTTTAAAGGTAGCCACTACAGTTAGGGTCTAACAATGGTCCTCTTGAACATTCATCCCCATAACCTTTTGACCTAACCTGATGAACTAGATTTAACCAATCTAATTTCTTCCCTCTCCACCACTGGAACTCAATTAAACAGTGTATTCCCAGAAACATATGACAAGCTTATCAATGAAAGTCCACTGAAATTGTAATTAGAATTAGAAAATTTTAATTGACCCATTGATTGGAGAGGTCATCAGGTATATATGTGTTTCAGGTTAATTTTCCACTATGTACTATTGCTCATACACCACGATTACCTGAACATTGTATTGAATATATCAGAATATTATTATGGCCTAAAGAAGAACCTTTCGGTGGTAAGCATAATTTTTGTTATACACTCACATCATAATGTCCAGTAAAATAGAATTTCTATTGACATTTTACACATTTTAATGGTTCAAATTAATGTGATACTCCAAATCATGTGGATGCTAACACATGGTTAAACAATCAACAAATATAATTTTGGCATGATGTTGCTGAGTGCTGTTTCCCCTAACCTTGACTAATGTTGATTATAGTGAATTTCATGATTGTTGTAATGAGGGTAAATTTATTCTGTAACAAACTATCTGCTGGATTGTTTTATAACAACTGCTCATTCTACAGGTTACTTTCTGGTGTTGAAGTGTTGTGAGGTTCTATATCACAATCAGTTAGAGCATTTATTGTTTGCATGACGTCATTTACTTGGTTACGTTGAACAAATGGTGGCTGTGAGTTCTGATATCAATCGGCGTGTGAAAGTCCAATGACCTTGATTAGATTAAGTCACCTTCACTTATAATTTAAGCTGTAAATGGGCACAGATAATCCAGGAAAGATCGATGCCAATAGGTTTCGCCAAGGATCAGCTGATAGAAGTATCTTAATTGTGAATTTAAGTTGTTATCCTTGTAAAATATAGTTCTTTCTTTCTGTCATTTTATTTTTGACTGCTACTATGTGGGTTTATCTCACACTTTGCAGATAATTTAATTTAATTATTTTATCAGAGGGTGTAATAATAGATGGAGATGATCCCAGTCATATTAACTGGATTTTAAAGAAATCATTAGAAAGAGCTAAAGAATACAATATAAGTGGTATAACTTACAGATTAACACAAGGTATTGTATTTCTATTTATTTCAAATGGTTTGGTTATTCAACTTCAAGAGTTGATCTTCAAAAATCCAATACACAAATCTCTTTATATGAAGGTTTAAAGGGGCAGTCTGTCTTTTTAAGTAGGTTGGAAAATTTACGAGTTTGAATTAAGAAAATCTACAGACCAAAATGGTTGTGTCAAAACCCCAAATTGTGGAGAAATTCTGAAGCGAAAAAACAAAGTGAAAGCTTCATTATTCGCATAAAACTGAAAATGGATATAAGTTGCAGTTTTTACATATATATATGTACAATCTATAATCTTTAATGGCTCACACTTTACAAATGTTTTCCAGAATGGAATGGACTGTTTCAATGTAGACTGACAGCTCCTGTTTATTTTGATTATTATTTTAGGAGTTGTAAAAAGAATTATTCCAGCCGTAGCCTCTACTAATGCTGTAATTGCAGGTATATTTACTATCAATAATAATTATATTTTTAAATTTTTTTAAAGTGTGAAGTCATTTTGATTGTCAAGAATGATATTAAGTGACTTTGTTAGGGTTAGGTAGGGATGGATGTATGTTTTTCAATGCCAATTTTTGTACTGTCGCAGTGAAAATAGCCACAGCCTTTGACATCTATACCCCACCTCCTACAATACACACAAAAAGTTTAGTTTGTGGGTCAGATCATGATGGAATCAGATGAAACCTGATAGAAATATGCTTGAACACTCAACTCGAACTGATGGAAGAAGAAGATGTTGTTTTTACTGTCATATACTTCTGCTCTACTGCCATTACTCATTTGTAAATATACTTCATTTCAGCTGCCTGTGCTACTGAAGTATTTAAGTTAGCTACAAGGTAACAATTCATTCTTTCATTTAGATAATACCATATTAATACACTGTACAAAATGTTTTGCAAATTACAAGATTGCATTAAGATATAACTAGAACTCTGGACAGGTCTGTAGTCACCTCATTGCGACTATTACAGTTTTATAAGTTAAGATTTGTACACCATGTATAATATCCAATCATTATTTTTATAACATGCAAATTTTCTGGAGGTCTCAGCAATATTTCACAAAAATTTCTAACAAAACAATGGTATTAGCAGGAATCTAGTTCAAATTTTGTACTTTTGTGGGTGTATTCTCATTAATAATTTTACGATTGGTAATAGTTGGAGATTGATGTGCGTAGAAAATGTGTACTATATTTTAGTATGGACAAGTTATTTAAACACTCACTATAAATAGATAAACATAATGAAGAGTTGAGATCGGTCTTGAATACTATTATCAATAGATACAGAGTGTGTGTATAAGATTTGCCTTTTAAATGTTGTTCTTTTTTTTAAAGATAGTTGAAATTAAGCAAATTTATGGTTGTTTTTTTTATGTTTGTGTTGGAGATGTGAGGCCCATCCAGATATTAATCTAATCAGGGTGATGACTGTGTAAGAAAATTAATTAATTTTTAGGTAACAATTTTTGGAAAATATTTAATTTTTCACCCTTTATATTCCTACGCTGGTGTATTTTAAAAGAAAAAATAAAGATAAAAATTTAATTTTATTATTATATTTTCAGTTGTTGTCAGCCATTAAATAATTATATGAATTTTACTGATATAGATGGTGTTTATACCTATACATTTGAAGCTGAGAAGAGGGTAAGTGACTCTTGTTTTAAACTAGCTAGTAGTTTGATATATTTATAATAATGACAAAGATATAGATTATATTCACCAAGTCAGTTCTTATCTCTTATATATATCTTGAAATATTAATAATATGAATATAAATGAGATAATGCTAATTGACTGTAATTAATTAAATCTATTATACAGGTTGATTGCCCAGCTTGTAGTCAAAAACCTCAGAATATAAATTTTACAGAGACAGATAAATTACAAGATATCATCAACTATTTAACAGAAAATGTAACTTAGTAAGTCTTAAGCATGACCATCTTATTTTCTTTCAACCAAAATCACACATTGGAAGCTTGCAAGACAACATAATATGTTATAAATATAACGAGCCATTATAAAGTCAATCACCGAAACTAGGTCAAACTGCTTAATTAACAATTAGTACTCTCTGTTTTTAATTAACCCTTACAAAACAAATTCAGTTTGATCGAGTAGATACATAGATATACATAACATACTTTAGAAATATTTTCAGGTATAATTTATGACGTTTTTGGTATTGAAAATGTTTTACAAAAAAGAGGAATGCCCCTTTAAGACCTCATCAATGCTACTTTTTTTCAACACACTGAGTTTCAAAACTAATATTATTTTGAAAATATGTGTGTCCATCAATAATTTAAGGGACAGGTTCACCATCATAACATAGTCTCAGATCAATACTCTATAATAGTGTTCATATCTCACTCTATGACAGTATTTATTTATATTTTCTAGTCAAATGAAGTCACCAAGTATAACCACAGTAATTAATGGTAAAAATAAAACTCTGTATTTACAGTCAGTGAAATCTATAGAAGAACAAACAAGAGGAAATCTCAAGAAGACATTATCAGGTATCATAGTTTGTTGTGCAATCAATTATAATGGACCAAGAGCTAGTTAAGATCATCTTACTCTCGTGTTTTTCTCAGCGAAAATGCCAAATGGTTGATTGATGTTACAGCTGCTACTAATGATTTACCTATTGTTTGAATCGTAAGTACTTGGTTTATTAATGTTATCTTTCTTTTCTCTTTTCAGATTTGGGATTAGTGAATGGCTGTGAACTTTATGTAGCAGATCCAACAACACCAACTTCATTAACATTTATTTTACAATTAGCTACCAATATGGAATAAACTTAAACTCATAATGTAAGGTATCATTTATCATCAATTCAGGAGTTTTATTGAAATCTGTTATGGTTATCTGTCATTGTTTATTTATTGGGTCATTGTTTATGTCTAAGTTCATTAATATTATAACTCTATGGAATTGTTAAAAGAGACGATTGTATAGAGGTTTTCTAGCCTTTTAATGTGTAACAGACATTTGTAACTACTATTTAGGACATTCCAAATTTTCTCCCTGACGCCTGTGGTTCCTGTAATTCCTGTGATATTTACCCAGATATATGTCGTTCAGCTAATGCTGGTGAATAAGTCTAATTTGAGAAATCAAAGTCCATGTTCTAGGTTGTTATTGATTGTACTCTGATTTCTTAAGCTCCAGTGAGTTTTCATTTCGTAACATTTGAAGGCCTGTTGAAATCACTTTCTATAAAAAACTTCATGAGAAATTGGTGTTTTTTATCCACAGTACTGGCTTGAAAACATATCTAATAGACTAGGATCCAAGTCTGCATTTTTCACAGACATTTTTCACACCACAATTAATCTCAAAATAAAATCAAGAATCTTTTCGTAGGTCTAGATGTATAAAAACAAGAATCCACTAAAGTCTGTATTAAAAATCACATGTCAATTTTCAGACTTCTGAATCCGTTCAAACGCTGAAATCACTGACATTTTATCTAATCACAATCACAACTGATATTCATCTCCCTTGACTGAGTACAGACCAACACACCGAATATGTAATGAAGTTTCAGTCAGTACTAATTGATATTAATAAACAGTTGGAGAGTTGATATCTAATACACATCAGTACATCACATCACACAGAATATCAGCATGAAAAACACTACTATCTATTTTTAGCACCTTTTCGTACAACAGTCCAACCATCATCTTCTTCTGTTTCCATGGCATTTTCATTATTATTCAAATTTTGATTCAAATCTATAAAATAGTAATAAAACCAGTTATTGAAAATAACGTAAGATGTCATGTATAGAAATAAATAAGGTATTATAAGCCCATTTTGATATTTATATTTCAATTATAGGATAAACAAATTATTTCCCAAAGTTAATACTGGTCCATTTTCAGTTGATACCCTTCTCTGTATTCAGGAGTATTGAGAAGGAATATGAAATGAATGACTGACAGATAGATACATGTACCAAAACCATAGGTCTATTGTATTAGAGAGAAGATGAGACAGGCCAAAGGAAGAGAGAGAGAGTGTGACAAATATATACCCCAACTATGTGTGGGCATAAAATAGTTTAATATAAGATCACAATGCAGTGTTTTTTGTTACACAGGATCCAAGAGTGCATTTAATAAACACTAAACAATGAAATATTTATAAAATATCTTACTAACCTGAATGTGAGTGAGATGCTGTTTGGTTAGAAGGTAATGTTGATGGCTGACTGGTACTAGGTTGAGTTGAATCATCTTCTATTTCTTCATCCTCCTGAAATATAGAGCTTTGGTATGCAAATATTCTCTCTTTATTTGAAATGACAATCTAACAGACGTCTTTTTTTCAATCATTTTGAATCCATCCAAGACTCCAATTTACCTGATTTCAACATTGACTCAGCTACAGCAGGTTACATACCAATAACTGTATGTATTTTAAGATTAACATAGATTGGTGCCATTTGTAAAAGCAGGAAATGACGTTAAAAAGGCTCTATTTTTTTACTTTTTATGTGTATTTTTTAAACTGCAATATAGCAGGTTGTAATCATAGTATTTACACAGTGTATCTATAAAAACAGACTCTGTATATATAGCATCCTTAACTGTTTCCACTTCACTGTTTGTTTCTACACCTTTTCATTACCATTTTGGTTTAAACATTCTTCTTTCACATTTCCAAATGTGTAGGTATGATTTTGGGACAGACAGAAGATGTGACGGCTTTGTTTTGTTCCTTTAAGTATTGGCATTTTCATTTTCATAAATGAAATAAAGGAACCCATCTTTAAGAAAAAAACCCTTGTGACCAAGTTTTGTAACATTCAATACAAGCCAATATATGTTCCTCACTCTCTATATGTTTAAATAAAAATAATTTCAATACCTCACAATCATCATCACTTTCAACTTTTTGACAGTTTTGAACTTGAGCAACAGGAAATTTTTGTATTTCTTGCTTAATGTCATCAAACCTTTTTTCTTTACATAACTTATAAAAATCACAGATCTTTCTTGCAATCTGTAATACATAAAATATACCATACTTTATAATACTATATTTTCAACATGTAAGTTGGACGTAAAACTCCATTCATTTCATTTCATTAATATGTAAAATAAAAAAAAGTGGATAAATTTTTGTTATATCAAGAGTGGTTGCCAATCTGTATCAAATCTTATCAAAAATCTAACTTGTTTATTTCAACCAATAAAATTCTGACATAAACTGTCACCTCTATGGCGTTCACAAGCCACATTAAATGTGTATCATTAAAAACAGATGAAATCTTTATAATCTCTTTCTCGATAGTATTCACAAAAATCTCCATACAAGGATACCAATCTGGTGAAAAAACTCTTTATTCTCTTAATTCTGTCGCGTCGCCAGTTGAGAATCCTTGGTGTACCACAAAAGTGTACATGAATCAACTTATAATCAAAACTTAATGTCAAAAAAATATAGGTATAAGATTACGTCCTAGAATCAATGACTAGAAAAATTGTAGGTGGAGATCATAAGACTCCAGGCAACATGGGCAGAAATACCAATCAGTTTCTACAACAGCATCAACTACTATCTTTACACACTTCTTGTTAAATTGAAGTATACCAATGACAATTGCGTGTATGAGTATTTGAATATTCAAACAAGTGTAGACAGTCTTAGAAGGACTTTGCCTTGATTAAAACCTACCTCTGTAAGTGAACCATCATCAACTATTAAATCAAATTCGTGATTTAACACATCTTCTAAAAATTCTTCACACTCCAATGGATCTATATTTGCTAAAAAAGATTGAAAGCATCTACCGTATGAACATGAGTCTAATCAGAGACAGATGACTATTTTTTTTGTTCTATTGAAATCCATACATACACAACTCTGATTTTCTCAATTTTAGACTTCGGGGACTAGTTACTTTGATTCTCCCAAATGTTCAGGCCTAAAATACAATCTTCTGTCTCACCACTATTGTTGAAAAATTGCATTTGTGTATGAATGAAATATACTGCGTCTTAAAATGTTATTCAATTGATGTAAATGCCAACCAAGTAAAATATAACTTGCCAGGCAAGTTAACATACACCCACTGACAGCTTTGTTTAAATTTGGACATTTAATGCCTTCCTTCATATTAATTTGCTAAGGTTTATCAAAGATGTCGCTTTCTGTAATGTTAACAAGCAAAAAATAGAAAGTAATTTAATGAATAAAGTTCAGTCTTGGGTGAAAATAAACAATGTTTCAGCTACTAATCTGTCAAAAATTTGATCTTCTCTAGCAAAAATGGACATAGCTGACAATAATTTTTTTCCAAATCATGGGTTATTTCTTGATGCATTAAAATATCTTCACCAAGTTTCATTCAAATCTGTCAATAATTTTCGTTATATAGCTAAAATTAAACGTGTTTCAAAAAACTAAAGCAATAAAATATATCAAAATAACTTACAGTTTTCATTAAACCAGGTTTCTGTTGCATAAACCAACCATTCTGCTTTTTCTTGACAATATGCACCACCAAAACCATGACTGACTGCTAACTGAAATACCCAAGCATAATTATTACAGTTAGAAACCATATACTTTCATTGACTATTTTTACCAAGGATTTATAACAAATTATATTTCTTTGTCTTTTAATTACAATTTCAAGTTGGGCACCAAAACTATAAATGTGCTCAAGCAGAAAAATTCATGTCTCTCTAAGTTCATTGCAGTAGTTAAGAACAAACCACACACCGCACAGCAACATAACCATATAACGGATTCAAATGAAATTCTGTACAAACATCTCTAAACATTTAGAAATGTATACTTAGTTTGTTAAATGAAATATGCCAAAATGTGTGAAATGAAATTAGCTGTAACTTAAAAGTTTAGATTCAAATCCCTTGCAGCTAGTTCTACAATCACATTTTTTTTTGTATTAATCAAGTTTATAAAATTTCAATCACTGCCTGTCATGTGCTATATTGCTTAAACAAACTAAGTTTTTTTTTAAATAAAACAATATTTTATTCGCATTAATATGAAAAAGATTGGAGAACAGGCTTTTACCTATATAACCCCTCTCCTATTGGCATAACTATCCAATAACAATTCAAATGAAATTCTACACCGTGCAGTCAGTTATATCTTAATTACCTTTAAAAAAAATAAAGGCTTCAAGAACGGTTGATAGTTGCCTACGCACTATTAGGGGTCTCCTAAGAGTAAAGAGTACGTGGTAAATAGCCCCAGCCCCCTGAACTAAATGAAAATACATCTATCATCAGCACTGAGTATAACATCTCATGAGATTGAGTAAACATACATGGAAAATAACATTCCCCAAATCTTATAAGCTCCGTTCTTTCAACAATTACCTGTAACGCTGTCCATCCTCTAAACAAACCACTAACTGCTTCACTGAAAAGCACATCGTTCGTACTGGGGGCTGACATTTTGGATACCGTACATATTAAGATTTCAGTAGCATTGACTTACCGAATAGATACATTTTACCTAGCCTACACCTAATCGATTATTTTTGATCTGTGATTAATTTCTAGTCCGAAAGATCTGCCTCTATAATGTTTTATTTGGAAAAAGGACGTGTGAGAAATTCTGCTTTTTCAAAATTTAAAGCAATTCGGTTTTTTACCTTTGGTCGATTTGACCTGTGAAATCGTCCATATCTCTTATCATTATGCTGGATACCACCGTGCTGAAGTTAACCATATTGTCATTGAGCTCTTTGAGTCAGCCATGGTGGTTAACTGAAAGACTTTAGCTTAGGCCGGTCCCCTAACAGCTATTTTGACAGCAAGTTGTTGTTAGCTGGAGAAGGGTCTCTGCATTTTCCATTTAATGCCAAGAGAGCAGGGCATAGGCCTACCACAAGTAGAACTAGTTCTATCCCTTACATTCATAATGAGCGAGGGGCCTATTTATGAGTTTTCAACTTCCTCGTAGATATGTGTGCTTAAGATACAAATTCAACTTGTTTTAAAGAACAAGGGCATTAACTCATATATATTTTCTGATTTTGAGAGGGTTCATTCTTCGTCTTCTAGAGTGTTAATGAGCCATTGTGCATGATCCGACAGCTGTGGTTGATACATATTTCATTTTATATTTTTCATGTGGGCCTATAAAAAAACAAATAATCAACAACATGTAATTCATTTATTTAATATAAAAATTGAAATAATAAAAAATGAAATTGATACAAGAGATCATTAGTGTAAAATAAATGATATGTACAATGTTACACAATATAAAATAATTACATTATCACAATACATATATCTGTAAGTTTAAATATTCTTGTGTGCACATAACATTAAAGCTTTAGAAAACAAAAACAACCTCTCAGCAGAAAACATCTCATGAACCAGGTGGAATTATTTATTCTCAGTCTCAGAAGGATGTTAGGTGAATGAAAACTATGAATTCATTTCAATAATTTCAAGTCGACCATCAGAAGAGCTGTCAGTGTAACAAGAAACAGCAAGGAATATAGTTCAGAGAGATAACATTAATCGTAAGCACCATATATGTATGTATAATTGATGGTTATATAACATAAACAAATTAATTAATGTAAAATACCTGATGATTGATGGGGGACTGATTATGTAAAATAAAATGGACAAATATAAAAGCATTTTGAACTGTTTAAAACAGAAATATAAAATATAAAAGGAATGTTCATGGCCTTCATAATAATTCTTTTCTTGCCATCAGATTCTAAGTTTGATATTATATATCTTAACATATGAGGATTGGAATATTAGTAATAATAAATAATGCCTTAATTAACATGGCCAATGGCAATCTCCTTCAAATGCAGTTCAAGATATTTTGCTTGTGTTTATTTTGCACACATCTCAACATTGTATGCACACATCTCAACATTGTATGCACACATCTCAACATGTACAATGAACAGATTTGCAAACAGATTCCGCACTTTAAGCACATAAGACATTTTGAAATTGACTTGACAGTATTTTTCATCTAAAGATGTAAAAGTAACACAATACTGGTTCATTAAATGATTTGAAGACACAACCAAATACTTTGTAAAATAAAAAAAAAGGAGATCTGCTTTACAATAAATTTGTTTCATTTTGGAATGTCAAAAACTCACTGAAGACGAGCTAGCACAACCTAGACTTATTTGTGACTATAACTATTATGTAAAGTCAATATGATAAATATAAATGATATATTGTTGAATCACTGCAAATACTAACAAACAGTATAAATCATACATAACAATAATCATTCAGGTAACTTTTGAAGTTTAAATCATACACACATTTTGATTATTTAACGACTTAGGTTTAATGGTAACCTCCCATTAGTTGTTTATCTGATAACTGGTATTAAGGTGTTATGGGAATAAAATTCACATAAAAAGCACTGGTTTATTATTATAGGTGTCAATATTTAAGTTTCAAACTGAAGTCTTACACCTAAAAAACAATAACAAAACAAATTAAAAAATAAGACAGCTTGAAATACACCAACATGGCAGCTGGTTCTATATAAATCTATAGTAAGTCTCTGCACAAATACCAAGTTTCATTACAATCAGTTTAAACCGGAGAAAGTCCTCACAGGCTTGGTGCCAACAACATACAGCTACAAGATTTACATTTTAATATCCTCTTTCGAAAATTACTCTAGTCTTCTAGGCAAATAAAAATGAAATGAAATGAATGGAGTTTTACGTCCTACTTTTCTGCACCATGTGGGCTAATGAAGACGGGCAATGCCATACAGGGTGCGATGAGGGAAATTTTCACAGGACAGCAGCATTAGCCTGCTCTTTTTCGATTTCCAACTGTCGAGGGATCTTTAACGTGTACAGCCTGTATCTAGGCAAATAAAGAATTATGTTTCAGTATTAGTTTACAGCCATAATAATAATCATACAGATATCAAATTATCTGTCCTATAAACAAACAGAGCTTTTTGGTTTTACCTGCTGTGGAATCTGCTGATGTCATGGTAACATCAGGTCTTTGACTGGATAATCTTCCTTCAACATCCCTAGTCTTTTCACCAGGCCATACTGATTCATTGATAACTTAAATAAAGTAAACAGTATAATATTTACATTGTTTCATAAAGATTCCAATTCAAGCCGAAAGTAAGATATAGAAAATACAGTTTTAATTGTGAGATCAGTTAAAATAAAGACATAAAGAGAGCTAAATCACTGGTTAAAGTCTAATGCAACGTTTCAACATGTTTCTGACATAGTCCTCAGGCACATAATGACGGGAGAAACACGGTGAAACGTAGAATAAAACTTTAACGGACATGGGTGACGCCAGTATTATAAAATCTTACAATATATAAATGTATTTTGTTTACAGAAGGAAAGCTTTTAATGTATCTGATTCTCTGAAATCATTCTACATAATTGTTTGCAATGATCATCTTTAAACTATCAAAAAGAAACTAAAAATCTGTATTTTGATCAGATTTGGGTGAATACTTACAAGGAGATTTATTTTTCATTTCATCTTTTTCTTTTCTCTGTTTTTCAAGTTGTTCTTTGGCCTTTTCTGTGAAATAAAATCATATTTTTAATGAAGAAAGGTAATAATAAGGCTCGATTCAAAATCAACAAACCTTGGCACTTTTAATTTTAGGGATTTCTTTATGTAAAGTTCAGAAATAAAAAAATTAAATATGAAAATATGTTAATGAAATTATTTTTTAAATATCTATTAGTTCTCCTTATGTTCAACCTGTTACTTCAATAGATCATGAGAAATTCATTTTGAGGAACTAAAAAAATAAGAAATGTCTACAAAGAAAGAAAACAGCACAAAAAACAAATATATCTGGTGACAAAAAGGTATTTTATTTTTATATCTATTTACCAATACGATATAAATCTAAATAGAGAATAAACTAATTTAATACAAGTACAGGTTTAAAAGAACTAACCAACAATTTCACTAGAAGCCATCTGATCCCATCTATTTGTGTCCATATCTTCCTCATCATCTGAAGAGTGGCTTGAAGCCAGATCTAAACTGTTATTATCAGAACCATCACTGTCAGAATCCGAATCTTGACCAGTCTTGGCTAATATTTTGCCTGAAAAGATATTTTGAGTTTCATTTATTTTCAATATAGATGATGCATTAATACATTAATTCTGAAAAATCCATGAGAAAAATAGTTTCCTGGAATATGTCATGCTTTCACTCAAATTATTTTAATTTTGTGCATTATGCCTTTTTCATTATCTGCCGTATTTAAGACATTTTTGCAATTATCTATTGCAATTAAATATTTGTCTCTATTTCCAAAGTGGAACATACAAGAGAAATCCACTACTGAACAGAAATTCACAACACTGATCTTCTAAACACGAGAGGTATTGAACGAGTTATTAGAACCTACCATTCATATCTTTATTATGGTTGAATGAAGGATCATAACCATATGGTGCTATACCAGTATTGGGTGGATAAATTGGACCAGTAGGTACATGACCAGACGTAGAACTACTAGTACTGCGTAAATAGGTGTCCTTACGAATACCACTACTCTTACTAGTTGATTGACTGGTGGTAGATGTTGTTGAAATACCAATATTAATTCGATGTAGGCCACTATCAGAAAACGACTCATGACGATAGGCTAAAGCAGATCTCTACAATAATAAAGAGGATACATTTTTGTCTAAGTTTTAAAATATTAGGGAAAAAAGAGAAAAAGAAAATTGTACTAAAAGAAAGTAAGTCAACTAAAGACCTCATAGGTTTCTCCCTAACTCAGTTTCCACTATGATGCTGTACTAAGGTGCTGATATGAAAAAAGTATCCAGGTATTTGAATTAGACACTAAACTGAGGCTTGTATGCTATAGACTGTTCATGATGAAGTTCCATGAAATATCTCATTACACAAAATATAATGATTCTAAGATTTACAGAAGCTGTAATATTGTAAGATTTAAGCAAACAATTGTCAAAATTTTGAAAATCCAAGACGGCTGATATAGAACATGTAAACATTTGTTTCTCAGCTTCAGTAGATCAAAAAACATCCTGTGCATAGAGAACTGGACCTAAAGGCCATGGTTTCGTCATTTTGTCATTCAGCGGTTGATCTAGGTCATGAATATTTGTCTTCTTAACTATTTAAATTGCAAGAAATTTTCACAATCCCTTCAAATATATGCCAAACTAGAATTTTTTTTTGAAATAATGTTGTCTTTTCTACATTTTGACAGTGAGCTGTTAACACTATTATCATTAGCCTAGCTACAATATTAACACTTTTGAGAAAAAGGTACAAACAGATGACAAACTTGTCCCTTTAATTTAACTTTCTCTCTGCTTTATTTCTTATCATATTTCTGTAAGACATGGTGACAATGAAGAAAATCAAAAAGATATGTTTATATATACCTGCTCTGAAATTAGAATACTTACAGAAACAACAGTGCTACGTGTACCAGCCAGGTTTTCATCAATATCTAACTTTTTACCTCGAATTCTATACCAGGCCTTTTTTAATTGTAATCGTACCTACAGAATAAACATACAGTTTGTTCATTTAAACCAAATATCAAGATGCCATATTGTCATCAATACATCTGTCTTCCACCGTTAATAATTTAAATTGCTTCTTCCCCTGATGAATTCAAATCAATGAATTGTAGAGTTATAAAGCGTGGCATTTGATGGTAATTTTTATTTATTTCACATTTTCATGTGGGCATAATTTTTAATTTAGCCACTTCAGTTAGGGTCTAAATTCACCACTCTTATTCCAACAAGCAATAGACACTGAATGCATCTTTTGTTTGTGTCACAAAATCGCAGCTTTGGAGAAGAAAGTAATTTGATTGGTTGGCAGTGTCATCGAACGGATTTATGTTCAAGATCAGCGTCTCTAGATCCTTACTGAAGTGGCTAAATTAAGAATAACTATTTAGACAAAATAAATACAGTTCTGTAAAATATTTTAAGTAAATCTAAAGTCTACATACCTTCCTTTGAAGTAGAATTTGAGTGACAAAAAAGAAAGCTCCAATCGCGAACATGAAGCAAGCAAAAACATAATGAAGCGCTTTAATACCATAGTTGACTGAGATGAGCCCGGTCACCCAAGTAAGACATAATAAAGCTAACATTATAATAGAACACATCAAACCCATTCTGAAATAGATATAATTATCACTTAATATTGATACAGCCATACCCTAGACTCTATCTACATTGAGCTGAATTTTGTTCTCATTTCATAAATATTCAAAATAGAATTTTCAACTCTATTTCAATTCGATTCAAACATTGGAGACAGAGAGCACTTTTATTTTTCAATCGAGGCTATCAACTATAGGTTTGGAGAGATTTCACAGTACAATTTATACAAGACTTACCTAACAGTTTGTATATCTCTAACATGTGTTTTTTCTAGTAAACTAGCCTGGACAGCTAATATAAATACTAATACAGATATCTGAAATAAAAATTCAAACTTTAATTATTGAATTTCATCTTACTAGATCTGTGTTAACAAGTTAAATATGTATTCTAGTTTCTTGGAATATATTAATTTTAGAAGTAAAAAACTCACCAATGTAGACATTGCAATGGGACCAGCAAAACTCCAAATAATACCATTGGAAGTATATAACCAACAACTGTAAAAATAATACAATCAACAGATATGAGTGTGTGCTGATATAAAATTGGAAAAACATGATAATGGCACTCTGAGAGAAACTATAGATACATGTAAATAGTTACAGACCAATCTCTAGCAATACAGAGAATGTAATATCATGTAACATTAAAATATTATATGTATTGGCTTTTCAAATCCTTGGGGAAGTGTGTTTTTAGTCACATGAAATGGTGTAGAAATAAATGGTTTATTTTGACAGAATTTTTATTTTTTGATGTCATAATGCAATAAAGATTTGTAAAAACAGTTAACATATTAAAAAATATTGTAGATTTCAACTTTCAGACAAGATCTGTACAATATGCACTTAGCGTGTAAAATAATTTGGGACAGACCAACAGACAGGAGAACAATATTCATATTATATACAAAATGTTCTAGAAATTTTAGCATATTGTCTCGATTTTTACTGTTCAGAGTTGTAAGAAGATCCAAACTATATAAAATGTGTATAAAAATTGAAAAATGGTACTTACAATTGACTATTACCATATCCATCAGTATATAAACCTACAGCTAGTCCTACTATTATACCAGGAATCGCTAAAAAAAATAACATAAAGATACTTTCAACATCACCATTTTTCTAATATTTACTCTTCCAAAAGTTTTACACCATGAATAGGTCAAGATCAGTTCTACTTCTTACATTTCCTATCCTGTTTTTGCTAAATAGCCAGGTCCCGCAGCATACAGAGTAAATTACAAAATATAAATGGCTGTAATAACCTCAGTGTCAAGTCTTCCACATGTCATTTTTCAGAGCAAATGGAAAAAATATTAGGCTTTTGATAGATTTAGGGGTCTAGGATATGAGCCTTCAAAGCATAATGGGTGACCTTTCATACAGGTTTGACTGTATATTGTCCATTAAAACTTACCATAACCAATAAGATAATAAAATTTCATTGAACCATAGTTGATGTTTCGTATTTCTGTTAACATTCTATAAATGTGTAATATTTCCACAAATAACCAAGAAAAGGCGGCCATATAGAAATACTGTAAAGTGATGGCAATCAGACGACAAGTGAGCTGAAACAGAAGAATATCCAATAAAACACTATCTAGTATTAATAAGCACACGATTATCTTCTTATCGATGGATTACGTTGGATAAAAATAATCGTGATGTATGGGCACGATTAATTATTAGTCCCCTTTAATAACAAATGATACAGAATTCTTGTGTGTATAAGAAATAGTGTCATGTTTTCATTTTCCAAGTATATAACTTTTAAAAATTGACTTTAAAAATTGAGATTTTTTTCACAATTCCTTACTTCTAAATGTTCTCAAGTGTTTAATAGTGACAAAATTGTAAGTAATTTTACAAATTTCTACTATTTGTTTCTCATTTCTTATCCAATAAATCAATCGTGATAATTATCGCAATAAATCGTATCATTGGATGAGTATTGTATAGTGTATCGAATCGAAACTTCAAGAATCGTTGCAGCCCTAGTTGAAACAAGAAGTAAACTCTCTACCAATCAAAATCAATGACGACAATAGGGGATTGTGAGAGCAACGATGCTTAATGAACATGTCAAAGCAGTTAGAAGAACCTGGGTTCTGGTTCAACATGTCAAAATACGAAATATACTAAAACATACCTCAGATTTAGTTCTATTGATACCAATAATGAAGGCCAACTCTGCTACAAACACTACAACTATTAGATTGATATGTATGGAGTTCCAGTTACATTGTAATCGTTTAAAACACAGTAGAATTAAATAGGCTACAACCAGTAACATTAGTGATATAAAAACTAAAATATAGGTCAGAACTTCCACTGTTACACTAGCCATTTCATCATACTGGAAAAAACAAAAAACAGATAAAAATTCAGAAATGAAATGAGAGCGAGATATAAAACAAGGTGAGTATTGCGAGTTCGGGATTTATGGTATTAAGAGAACGTATGTACAATAAAACAAGTTGGAATGGATTTCAGAATGTATTCCACATGTGCTGAAAATAAGAGTAGGTTCAGACAGAATTGGTTCAGATAAAAATGGCGGAGAAAGAAATAAATCGGATAATTTTGGATGTGAATCCGCTTTCATACCGTTCGATTTGGGTCAGAATCCGAACAGACAGAACCTGAACAGAACTCTACAATCAAGCACCACTCGGAATTAAGAAACAGATGAAATTATGGGACATAACTCTTGTGATATCTTATGTATACATTAGAGCAATACCTCAAGACCAAGGCAATAAGTCAGAAATATTCACCCTGAACATCAATTATACTGAGTTTCATCAAAATTATCACCTCCTTTGTGTTCAAAGTTAAACAATATACAAATACATTATAATTAAGATTAAGTGAATAATGCCAACCTCCTTATCTGAAACATCCATCAAAACAGCAAAAGTTGATAAATGGTGACAAGAGCAGACAACATATTGACTTTGACTTTTACTATATCTATCACTGACTTCACAACCATTTCTAGACCAGTAGCTGTATCTAAAATAATATAAATCATCCATTATCATAATCTAAAACAAGTGATGAGACAAAATTGAAATTTCATCCGTAATGTACAGATAGGTCTGATCCACAAGGGACGCTGAGTTGATAAACCCAATGGCACCAGACTCACTACTAACACCCATCACAGTGATTTTTAGTGAGGCTCAAATTCAATAGAATATTTGGTAAATTCTTACCCATTATTGTCAGTTTTCCAATAAACACACAGTGGATTAGATCTATTAGTAGTGTTCAGTTGACGGAATGTTATCTCTATTGGATATTTCAAATTACCAGATTTGACTCTACCTTCATTGACAATCACTAGGCTTACTACTGGACTATTTATACGTATTGAATGAGTTGTTCTAGAAGAGATAGAAGACATCATCATGTAATGTCCAATTTGACAATAAAAACAACTCAAAGCAATACAAGCATAAAGCAGTTGATTCCAAATAACATCCTGTAGTTTAATATAATATGGTATCCAACACTAATTTTGGTTTTATGCTGAATTAATTCATAAAGAATGAACATGCAGAAGTAACCTTGTTTTATTTTATATTTATTGGCTGCAGAAGACACAACACAACAGTTTTGCAACATTGTTTTAACCACAGAAGACAAAGTATTTTTGAATGTTTTTTATTACCTTATCTCTGCAGAATAATTTTTGGACATGAGATTTCCAATAGTTTTATACATAATAAATCCTACATAGATTTTACCATTCATTTCACTTGATCCTGAAAAATGAGTCCATTAAGACATTACCAGATATTCTAATAGTCTAATAGACTAATTAATATTCCATCTAGAAACAAGTAGGGCAAGATTGACATTCTACGCTTATAAAAACTTATCAAATTAAGTTCTTTAAGGCTTGTTTATTTATGTTGTCCATATTTGCTATATAAATGACTCGGTCATCCAGACAATTTGTGGAAGTGATCTTACCTAGAGTGTGGTAGAGTAGAGATGGGGGTATTTTAACTCTCGTATCATCATCAAAAGTACCTTTCTTAGCAATATGATCATATTTTGGTATGTAATTATTACTGGAATTTCCTTTCCGTATCCAATCAACAGCAAACACTAAAAGTCGAGTGATATAATCAAATTTTGTACATATTAACTCTTAAATTGACTCTATATATATCCCAGCCAATAGTTATAAAGTACGCTTATTTCTACTGCTTGAGGTTCACATAGTACAGTCAATCAAAGCGTTGGTGCTTTATATGACATCATTTGTTTAGTTAAGTCAAGCAATTGGTGGCTGTGGGTTCTAATCTGGATTGGCGTATGAAAATATGATGCCATTTTCACTCATAATTCTAGTCGACCCAACTGCAAATTGGTAAGGATAATACAGGAAAGATCAATGCCAGGAGGTTTGGCCATGGACCAGCTGGTAGACAGGATATGTGAACCTAAGTTGTTATCCTTGTAAAATATAGTTATTTCTTTCTTTTTTCTTTTCTTTTCATGAAACAAAACATCCTTTCCTATTTTTATGATTTTGATTAGATAAAGCTAGAAAAGCTCATTTGAATTTCTTCAGAGACATAGGCCTACATAATATGTACCTGATTGTATGTAGTAAATCGATGAAGAAAAAATGGCAGACTCACCCATATTGTCAGCAATGGCATCAAAAGGTGTTGATTGAGCAGGCTCCATACTTTTAGTTAGTGTCTCAACATAGTTCTCAAACTGGTTCACTAATTCTCCAGCACCTCCTGTTACTGAATTCACTCTATCCCATAATACTTCATATTCTAATTTAGTGATATTACTTACAGCTATTAACATTCTCTGTAAAATAATAAAACATCATCATTAATTATAATATTTTAAACAGAATATACACACCTTCTTATTCTTAATGCCCCTGCACACTGAGAGAATTTGGGGCTATTTTCCTTTATTTGTTTGTTCATCCCACTACTTATCGCACATGACTTGTCTTTTGCTCAGAGCTGGTTTCAGGTTAGCTGTATAATATTACGGGTTAAAATGACAGACTACAACAATGTCAGTTGAAGAGATGAGCAGTTATTATTGTTTTATTACAAGACCAATGGATATTGTGAGGCAGGATAATCTTGTCACAAATTTATCCTCCGTTTATACTTCACAATGTTCTGCTATATCAAAATGCTGAATGTTGTGTTCGTTGCCTGAGAAAATGCACGGTAGAATGCATACCTTCTGCCAAATATCCAATGCGATATATTTTTTCCACACGACAATGAGTTAACAAATGCACACCAAAAATCACCTGCAGACAATTCAGTAAATGAGTTGTGCCATTTTCTCTCTGTATGCTGGTACATTAAAGGCAACAATCCTGTCCAATGACCTGTTTACTAACCTGAATAAATGTACTATGTTGTTCACTAGTAAGATTCAATCCTTGTAGTTTATTTTCATACAGTAAAACCTCTCTAATAACATTATAAGCCATGACAATATCACCACCAAATATATGATAAGTTGTATTAGTGGCCTCCACCAGTCTGTCTATGCTATTTTTGGCCGTGTATGTATTAGAGATCTTAGATTTAAACTGAAATAAACAGACATTTATTAAAATGCTGACTTTCAGACCTCCAAATTGGTACACTTCATTGATGCTAGAAACTTCATGGCTGCTGGCATGGATGAAGTTCTACATGCTACTCTTCTGCACCTAGTTGGGCTAATGAAGTTGGGTAATGCCATGCAGTGTACATTGAAAGAAATCTTTTCCACTTTACAACTGTCAAGGGATCTTTAATGTACACAGCCTGTAGCTCACAGGGTAAGCAGTCAATTAGGTAAAAATATTTTAAGCACAAGTTAGTTTGACTTGGTACTTTAAGCACACTTATTTTAGGCACATGTTCATTCAGGCACAGTGTTATATAGACACAGCGTTATATAGACACAGCGTTATATAGACAACGTTATATGGACACAGCGTTGTATAGACACAGCGTTATATAGACACAGCGTTATATAGACGTTATATGGACACAGCGTTATATAGACACAGCGTTATATAGATACAGTGTTATATAGATACAGCGTTATATAGATACAGCGTTATATAGATACAGTGTTATATAGATACAGTGTTATATAGACAACGTTATATGGACACAGCGTTATATAGACACAGCGTTATAAAGATACAGTGTTATGTGGGTACAAGTACAGAACTTTTAGTACAAATAAAATGTAACAAAAATACTTTGTCACTGACATTATCTTTTCTTTATCACAAACCTACCGGTATGTATATTACAGGAATATAAGATATAAGTCACAGTGGATATTAAAGATACTTACCACTGATGATAGTCTAGTGAAATTCTTATTGGTACAATTAAACAAGTCTGGTTCTTGCCAACCTTCTTCTTTATCACATGATTTACCTTCTTCACAAACATAACATTCTCTCTTAGCATCCCCTTTAATCATAAAATCACAGTTAAATTATTGAATTTAGACTTTTCTAAAACAGTTATTTGATTGTTTATGACAATATAGAACCTTATTTAAGAGTTATGACCTCATGTGACTTGACAAAATGTTTTAGCACTATGTAGATCAGGATTGTTATCCTCAACAACCTTTTGATATTAGTACATTTAAATAAAACTCAGTCCCATGACAAAATTGGCAGTGATCTTGGAATTTCTGGTAAGTCTGATCACAAGAAGTTCTGATGTGCCTTGACAGCTAGCATGCTGGTCATCCTGATCATTTATCATGATTCAGGACAAACAATAAGTATCAAATAAATCAACTGAACATACCATTAGCATCATAAGGACAATCTTGCACTGCTTCTACACCATATTCTGTTCTATCCCACCAGACTTCAGCAGCACGATTTCTAGGACACACATTGTATTTTACTGAAAAACATCACATACCAACTTAAAACCAATTCTTATTTCATATTCATAAAGACTAGTGACTGAATGTTACTTTAAACATTCATTGTTAACTATATCAGATCATAAACAAAGAATTTGTATTAAATGACCAGTAAATTATCGAACAAGAGAAAAATATTCACATTTTAAAAAATCAAAAATTTGGTAGTAAAATGTTTACAAGTAGGCCTAAGTTAGTTAGAGCTGGGGAACCTGCTAGATTACCACTCATTTTTATAGTTATGACAACTTGTTGATCGTTCAGTGATAGAGATTGTTTACAGGTTCACTGTAGTGTAAGAATGGGGTGCTTGAGCACGATATTTGTAATTATATGGTACTAAGTTGAATATTAAGTAACCATGCTCACTACCGGTTCTATGCATCAATGACATGAAGATTCAATTTAAAATGGACCCTAGATACTTCATGGGGGTAAGTTTTTAGAACACACTCAAACTTGATCTTCAAGCCAAGTTTTTTTTCCAAAATTGAAGATACTGTAGTAGTAACTATAACTGTATAGAGAGTGTTCCCTCTTAAACAGACTGGGGTTAAAAGATCTTCTCCCATCTCTTTTCCTTTTAATTTAAAATAGGTAAGAAAATAAAATAAAAAAGTAAATCTGAAGATGATCATGTATAAGTTATCTAATAAACAAATATTACATACCATTACAACCATTGGTTTCAACTTCAGCAAATCTACTTGAACACTGATCACATCTTCTGCCTATTACACCATTACGACAGTCACATTGACCTGTTACCGAGTTACACGTTAGACTTCGTGATCCCCTTTCATAACAATCGCAAGGACTACATTTATGCTCTCCAGGGCGGCGATAGTGATTTTCCTAAAATGAAAATCAGTCACAGGGTGAAGTTGTAAATTTTTTCCAGTATTTTGTTTCTGTATTCATCATCAGGATGTGATCAACAAATTGAAAGAAAATACTGCCGTCTGTTTAATGAGCATGATTTAAATATGATTGGTCCGACAGAAAGCAACATTTCAATATATACCCAAATGTAAAAATCTCTTTTTCTCAGCGCTTACCTGACAAATACATGAACCGTTGTTTTTATCACAAGAGCTCTTGAAGCCAAAATGAGTTGGACAGTTACAAGGTCCACATATTGGATCACCCCACCATGATATAGGACACACTTTTGGTGAAATTATTTCACAATAACGTCCATTTTGTCTTCTACCACATTCACAAGTATAAGTTTCCTCATTGCCTTGTGGGAATTTACAGGCTGCATAATTCTGACATGGGTTTACACCTGTACAAACTTCTACACAATTTGGACCAACTGTACCTAAAAAATTGATAATACCTTTTTCTTATAAATGAAAATGGTTAAAAAGAAACAAGACAGAAGTTAAAAAAGAGTGGATCACGTTAAAATACGCTCATTTTAGCATGCAGTTGGTGAAAGAAGAAACTTATTCCAAGGTTCATGAAAATTGGTTTAAAAGAAAAGGGAACTATCATATTGAAGAACAAAGAGATTTTCTCTGATTTCAATTTATATGAGGATCTTACCAGCATCTAATCAAGCTTTATTATCAATTAACACAAACCAAACTTGATCAATATCTGATACAATTTGTAGATTCTAGAGTGTTTACATGAAAATATACACTGATTTACAAGGGCTGAGACAATACATCCTTATATGGAGATCTTGGAATATCCAGACTGAAATAACTTACCAGGAGGACATTGACAGGAATGTAAACCCCATTCTTCAATACACTGACCAGTACCACAATCAGCAGACGTACAAACTTCATTACTGCTACATCCTAATCTAACATTAGTTTCTTGTGGTTTACTTAATAAAGAATCATCAAGGTTACCAACTCGAACATCCTGAAATTGAAGATTCAGTTAGTTTTCTAACTTGTTTGGGATATTATCCATATGCATACCTAGTTTTATACAAATCATATGAAACCTTGTACTTGTTTGCAACCACACCAAAATCTTAAGGAGTTAATTCTATTTAAATCAAATGCCAAAATTAAAAACAGAACCTGAAACTTGTTGTTACTCACAGTTCTAATATTTCTATATCGCTCTACAAATAATGTATTGAGCACAATTTTAACAGTGAAAATATTGTTTTTGAAAACTAAATATCATATGAAGTTAATCAAGTTAGATACAGAGCCTGAAGGTTTTTTTTCACTCTTACCTTTACACATCCTTTAAAATAATTCATAATAGGACTGTTATCAGTATGATATCCACCAACATATACTACTTGTATTACTTTCTCTAGAACAGTACTCGGCATATCTACAACCATCTATTAGGAATATAAATATTTACTGTTATTACAGCATAAAACAACACTTCATTTGTTAGGGGGATTTTCACAAATGCAAGGTAAAATAACAACAGGCTATGTTTATTTTCATCCCAGCTCCCCTTTCTCTTTCTTGATCTACCAAATCTGAGTAAAACTTCATCCTTAGTTCTTATCCTATTCATAATTCATCAGATTACCTTTCTTTGTCCATAATCTAAAAACATCTGTAACTGTCCAGGATACCATCTTGATTCAAAATAATGCCATTGTCCATCATTTACTTTTGTCACATCAAATACTACAACTTTACCATTATATATATAAATAATATAACCATTCAATAACTGAAAGAGTGTAAACAATAAATAAACATTGTTTCAGAGATAAAATTAGACATATTCCAGAGAGCAAATACAATAACTCACATTAAATATCTTTTCAAAATTTCACAAAAATTCACAGATTAATTCCCTTACCAAGATTCGTACATCACCATCTGACAAAACTATCTGCATTAAAGTACCATTTGAATTTCGTGTTCTAAATGCCAAACCAGTGTACCATGGAAAATTTATCTTAGGAAACGTGAAGTTAGTGTATGTCAAATAGCCATTGTTGCTCAGTTCTCTACTGGATTCAATGACTGAAAAAAGAAGTATCGATTCATTGCCACATAGTTTCAATAATGGAGGAAGCTAAAACGACTAGAAAGGTAACACACATCTAGTTGCTTTTTTAAAATTAGTTCAATGATGGTTTCTACAGCAAGAGATTAGTTTTAGCTTTTCTGATATTTCTGTATTTTCATAGGAATCATCGTCAAGGAATAAAAGACTCTAGATTTTAAAGCAATTTCTGAGAACAAGAAACATTCCTTCTGGTTAAAATCTGGTTCACTTTCAACCCAGAGAATTGGTAAGCTATAGAAACTTCAATTCAACTCATTTTTTTTCTTAGCCCTAGGAGTAATTTTTTTCCTAAACTTGCTGGAATTTCTGTTAATAATAATAATATATCATAATATAACATTTGTGGAAATGATAAACAGAACTTCGTGAAACTAATGTCTTTATAGATAGATGTAGGTGTATAAATACACGTCGTTTTTACCTTGTGAACAATCTTTTCCACCAGTTTTTTCTGAACAATCACAGAAAAAATCATCCCAACCTTCCCTGCATTTACCTACAAAACAAGTCATAGGTCAAACACATAAAATGAATGTTTACTTTTTACTGTTAAAATATTCAATGCATCAATAGAGTGATATAAAAATATCAAACAGAACCTAATAAAAACTATATTGTTGTTACTCAGAGTTTCACGCTACGCGAACTTCAGACAACTGACCTACATAATTCAGCATGTGTCCCTACTGAAGTTTGATTTATTTGGACTATGTACATAAATATTTGTACCGAATTTTATCATTTTATGCAAGTCTGCGTATTTCGAACGACGTCGATCTATTTCTGAACCTTTTTCTTACAATTTTGATATCATAGTATACAGTGTGTTAAAATTACCTCCAAATTTACACGGTGAATTACGACATCTTTGTTTCTTCATTGAACACCCATTTTCAGTTCCAACAGCCACAACTGATGAATTTAAATCTAATAATACTTTATCAATATAAAAATCTCCGATACATCCTATATAATTACGATTCTGGACTTGAAATGCTGTTGGTAAACCTGGTAATCCACCAATCTGTAATGGTCCAGTTAAATCCAACAATCTATGACAGACTTCAACTGGATTATCACATCTGAAAGGTGAACAAAATCACATTGCTTTTAAATGCTTTCTCATGATCACGGAACAATCTGTATTTCATTTCACTGCCTATTGTAATGTAAATGTAGCTCTATTTTGGGTCAGTGAAGTTTTTCTATGAAAGTATTATAGACTGATAAACTATATCAGTATAAAAAATTTCAATATGGCAGCTCTGGTCAAGAAATATCAAAATCTTCTGTAATTTAGCGTCAACATAACATATACAATGAATTTGACAAATTCAAGAAATAGGAATATGTCCTTCACTTACTTTGTGGGAAGATTGTGAGTATTTCGGGCAGCACAAGAATAATTTCCTAAAGCATTTCCATAACGTACTGAGATTTCCGTATCACATTTCTCTCCTACTGTCACTGTAGCTTGCTGAGATAGAGAACAAAAATAATACTTTCAGAGTCTACTGATTAGTCAATAATAGAAACAATTAAACTTACATACTGAGTTTTACACACTTCAGATAACACATGTTCTCAGCAGCATCATATATTCATTTTCATAGAATCAAAGATCCCCTTTTTTAGCTTGAAGATAGTGGATCATGTACTGATATATCAACAAAAGAACATAAATTGGGATTAAGAAAGATGTCAAGATACTCAGAATACACCTTTCAAGTCCCGCTTCCTTAGGAACAAATGAAATGTAAGTTGAAATTATGTTAATCATGCAATGTCACTTATATTTGTAGTTGCTAAGTAACAGTCTTCTCATGACAGGAATCAAACATGGCTTCGGTAAATAATGATCTTTCATTAATGAAATCTTCAGATTTCTACCTACCCTATTTAAATATTCAACTTTCACTTTCCACCATTCACCGTCACTAACACCATTCACTACATTAGGTGTTACCATAGTAACACTACCTCCAAGAGAAAAGGAAAAGACAACTTGTCCTTCCACTATTTCTAATGCAATGTAGTCATGTTGTTCATTAAATCTTCCATTATAAAATAACAGCCCATTCTTTTTCTGAGTTGCAAACCTAAAAAAAGAAAAACATTTCAATCAAAAACAGATGAATAAGATTGTGAATCAATACAATCTTACTCTGTCTACGTTCATGTGGACATAGTAGAAGCGGCTTGTCATTTTCAGGTGTAGTCAACATAAATAAATCGTGTATGTGGACACAAGCCTTTATGTTTATCTGTTTTTTACATACATTAATACACATATATCGTATACTCGTGTTGCTAATACGTTTAACAACATATCTCTGAGAAAAAGGTAGAGTTTTTAATCTCCGGAATGCTTTGACTTACCTCATTTCAATTTTAAATCGGTGACGTTTGCGTAGAGATGGGAAAGAAAGAAAAGATCTACTTGAAAAGCTTCGGGTACGCAGACGACAGAACTGGTCATAATCTTCCGTATCGGGACATCCTTTACACTGGAAACCTCCATCTATCAATGGTACACAGTAACTAGGTAAACGACACAAATCATCTGGACAAGTTTCAGCATCATATTTGGATGTCATACTGATTTCACAATTTACACCTGAAATTACAAGCTCAAAATCAGAACTGAACCACTACTAAAACACTTATAAATTTACAGAAACAATTTTAATACAATAGATAAATAAGACAATTTTGGATATATACTTCTAGAATATTTATTACTTCAACGTTTCAATGTGGTTCTCACACCGTCATCAGGGATATAATATATATATATTATATGCCTTTGAAAGATAATTTTAATACAATTCATCAGGTAATATAGACAGATAATATTAAATTGCTCATCACTTCAGCTGAGTAAATATCAAATTACACTGGAAAACAATTCTATGGTATAACATTATCATGTTTTTATTGGATATATTTTAACAAAATACAATTATAAATCCATTATTTACTGGACAGTTTTTCTTGTTTAATGAAAAAAATAGGCTATATTATAACTCAATTGAAAAAATATTTCTTACCTTCAAAGTTTGGACTACATAAGCAGGTATAGCCATTTTCTTTTTGCATACATGATCCACCATTTTGACAAGGTTTTGAATAACATAAATCAACTTCAGTATCACAAAATATTGTTGTATTCATGCCTGTAATTGATAAATTTCTTATAATCTCATACATCAGACAGGCAAAGCATGGAATACACCCATATATTGAAAAAAACTTATAAACCAAGAATGTAGGGTGAGCACAATACAGCCCAGTGATAAAACATTGAAATATTTTTTTATGGATCTTAGGCAAAGTGTGTTAAAATGTCTAACATATCAATTTTGAAAGATAGGTAGCCATATTGATTTAATTGATTGATTTAAGATAACTTACTTTTAAAAAATTGAATGTTGTTTATCATAGAAATAGTTTTAAATATTTAGTTGATGCAAAATTATGCAAAATATTCACTTACCAGTAAAACCTTGAGGACATTCACATCGGTAGCCATTTTTTGGATGTATAGGTCGAAATAACATTGTTTCAGACATAATGAAATCAGGAGCTGTTCCAAAAACCAATGTTGATCTGCAATCTTCGAAATTTGTACAGGGTTCTCTCATGCATAAATTATCATCAAACGGAAGAACCTGTAAAAACATTTATCAAGATAGAAACACAAAGCATGGAATACGTCATCATGGAAGCTAACTCCAAAATGAACCAACCAAATGGAACATATAATATACCCCAAAGAAAACTGTTGAGCTCCATGAGGATTGGTCACTTTTTAAAAAGCATCTCTGATTCCTTTTATGCAAAGGTTATAAATTGCATATGTCTGTAAACATCAGTACCATGATTCAAGCAGAAAAACTATGGTTGTTTTAACACTATCAGTTGCATTCTCATCTAGGACTTCAGCAATCAGAGGATATCAAAATATTTAGAATTTCCGATATTAACACAAGAATATTACCTGTAGAGTCGATAGATTAGCTAACAGAACACGGTTTAAATATATCAATTCTTGAAGGTGATCAGACGGATAAAAGACCTCCACATTTTCTCCCTGTATCATCTTGAATGTTTGACGGACTGATACTGTAACATTCAATATCTGAGCTGTGACATCAGTGTCATCTTGAACATTGATGACATAAATATGATTTTCATCTGTTTTCAAGATGGTGGCGAGAGCTTCAACAAAGAATTTGAAGAGTGGAGATAGGAATGCTGTTTGTGTCATCTTGTTCAACCTTATCGTTACACTGTTTAATAACATATTCTGGGTTATCAAACGAACGTACAGACGGCATGTTGCCTTCACAGTATTCTTTCCATCTGAAAATAAAAACAGTATATTTATATAAAAAATGAAAAATTCTGTGGTTTTTGAATTTTCCACAGATCAGGGACTTAGTTGACCAATATTTAAAAGGCGTGACTCAAACCAAACTCCTGTTCTAAACTAGAAACATGTGAAATTCAGACGTAAACAAAGTAAATGAAAGTAGAGTCTCAATTTTGAACATCTTATAATGTGTGAATTGACAGACGAGTCTAATTTAAAAAACTAAACAGAGTAGCAATTGTTGTAAATGTCTTTCTTTCAATGAGCAATGGGAATTGCATCGTGATACAGACTATTTTGTGATACTTTATTCAACAATTCTAGTTTTTTTTTAACTTTGTATACATGCAGCCAACAATATATGTACATGAGAAATAGGGCTTAGGTTTGACATCTATGACCTTTGACAGATTGAGTCCTGTGTAGTGATTTAAAATGTTGGTCAATCAAGTTTATGTCTAATATTTCTATGCACGAACGACTTTTATGACGCGAGACTCGATATCTGAAGCTATCGTTATCTGTAGTACATTTTACTACAGCTGTAAACATTTGGTTCAATAATGCTCCAGTTTTTGCAATACTTGCACGTTGTAGAGAATACCTGATTAAATTAACATTATTGATTCAGCTATATTTCAAAATAAAATTATTTCTGTGAACAAATTAAGAAAATATTCATTTGAGTCGTTTTATGTAAAATAATAAAAAAAATTGTTTCTTTTTTTAATCAAATTAATGGGAGGGCTTAAAGGTTTTTGTCCGTTAACAGTGATAGAAACCGAAATTTCAACAAGCAGATATTCATTGTTTTTGATGTATTGACATCTACTTTCATAATAGACAAAATAAGATGAAAACTTTAGATGTGTTTGTGAAATATTTTGAGTTATGAAATTCAAGATCATGATTTGTGGAACTCAAAATTTCAACCTGAAGAAGCATTTTATGGTAAGAGAATTATTGATATTATAGAAAAATATTATATATTAATGCAAAATAACCTACCTGAAACGCTAACAACAAATGTTCCATTTCTTGGTACATCAGAATTTAGACGTGGGTCTAAAGTGATCTCCCCCTTTCCAGAATTTTGATTCAGATGAAGCAAATTCGCACCATTCCCAGAGATAAACTTATAATCTAATCTATATTGGTCAATTATATCCGGATCAAAAGCTGGTATACGTCCAATAGATGAAGATGGAAAATGGTCTAGATAGTTGTTAAATATGATAGTAAAATCTTTCAATATAGGTGCGTTATCATTAACATCCTGAACATTAATTAAAACAGTAGCAGTAGAGAATTGAGTGTCACTAGCAGCACGTAAAATAATTTCATATTGTTTCTTGTCTGACTCGTAGTCCAAGTCTACTTTAGTTGTTATAATAGCAGGCTCACCACCTTTGCTCACCAAATGAAAAGACTCAACGTCAGCACCACCTACGAAATTATATTCCACAAGTGCATTAACTCCCTCATCAGGATCGACAGCAGATATTTTTGTCAGTGTGGTGCCTCTTGGGCTGTTTTCTGGTACACCCACTTCTATTGTTTCTGCTTCAAATTGTGGACGATTATCGTTTATATCCTCCACCTTCAATTTTATGACAACAGAGGATGAAAGAGTTGGCTCACCTTCATCCACAGCATAAGCCAGAAGGTTATAATGAGCCACAGTTTCACGATCTAATTCTTTAGCAACACGAATTACTCCAAGAGATCTGTCAATACTAAAATCACCATTACCATCATCTCCACCTTCAAATGTGTAGAATAATTGCCCATTTGCTCCCTTATCCCGATCTGTGGCTGTAATTTGAATAACTTTACGGCCAACAAGTATGTCCTCTTTCACACTTCCAGTGTAAACAACTTCAGAAAATTCTGGACGATTGTCATTTATATCATTAACTGTGATGTCTATATCAGTTGTATCAATTAATGATGGACTACCATTATCCCTAGCTGTAATAGTCAAAGTGTAAGCCGGTCCTGACTCTCGATCCAGCTCTTGGCTTGTTTTTATTTGACCTGTATCAGGGTTAATGATAAAATCTGAAACAGCTCCATCAAAACTATATGTAATCCGTGCATTTTCACCTCTATCTTTGTCTAAAGCAAATACTTTAAAAACTGAAGTTCCTACTTTGACATTTTCATCCACATCAAATTGATAAGGTGTTCCTTGAAATTCCGGAAGGAATCTGTTAGTGTCAGAAATATTTATAAAGACCTCAGTGGTATCCAGATTGCCATCAGGGTCTTTAGCTGTCACAGATAAAGCATACCGATTCTGTACTCTGGCATCAAGTTTCTTCTGTAATCTTATAACACCTAGGCCATTGCTGGTACTGATTTGAAAGGTGTCAGCTGTGTTGCCACTAGCAATGCTATATATAACATGACCATTGTCACCATCATCCTTATCTACTGCTGTTACTGATGTAACTATGGCACCAATCCTGGAATCTTCTGACAATAACGTTTCGTAAATTCTTGGCCTAAAAACTGGGGAATTATCATTGATATCACGAATATTAATCACGACACTGGTGGTGGCAGATAGAGGAATGACACCATTGTCTTGAGCTTGAACTGTAAACTCATATCTAGCTTCCTGTTCACGGTCAAGTACACCATTAGTTGTTATCCACCCAGACCTTGGATCAATCAACATAGGCATGTAAGCTGGCTTGTTAAGAATACTGTATGTGATTTCTTTATTTTTACCAGAATCTAGATCATAAGCTACCATTTGAAGTATTGAGGAACCTGTTTCCGCACCTTCATCAATTGACTCCATATATCTATCACCATGGAACTGTGGTGAATTGTCATTAACATCTATAACTTGGACCAAGATAGCAGTTGAATTCTTTTGAGATGGATTACCACTATCTTCAGCTCTAACATTTAAACGATATTCTCTGTAACTTTCATAATCTAGTGCTTTGATAACATGCAACTGTCCAGTTAGACTATCAATTTGAAAAGTATCCATAACATTGCCAGTCAAGCTATATCTGATTTCTTTATTAAGGCCCTGATCTTTATCTGTGGCACTAACATTGAGAATGACAGGCCGTGAAAAAACATCAAGATCTTCTTTGACATTAACCAAATAGGAAGTTTGAGAGAATTGAGGTTTATTATCATTAAGATCCAAAATATTGATGCTCACAGTGGATGTTGTTGATTTACGAGAATTTATTGGACCTTGATCCATGGCTTGGACTATCAAAACATAACTTGATTTGGTTTCACGATCAAGTTTGACCAGATTGGTTATAATTCCTCTTAGTGGATCAATCAGGAAGTCACGAGTTGGGTTCACAAAACTGTACCGAATATCAGCATTTTGCTCTACATCCAGATCAGTTGCTTGGACAGTCAAAATATTAGTGTCCACATCCTGATTCTCTGAAATATTTCTCACATAGTTCTGCTGCTCAAACTGTGGATGGTGATCATTCACATCATCAACAATAATTTGAATATTTGTGTAACCCTTTTTACTATCTCTACCCTTATCAGTAGCAATAATACGGAAAAAATGGATTTCAATTAGCTCACGATCCAATTTTGTTGTTGTATTGATGGTACCAGTTCTGGGGTTGATAGCAAACATATTTGCTGACCTTTCATCTCTTTCTGGAATCATGGAGTACGTGATCATACCTTCATCTCCCTGATCTGCATCATGGGCAGTGATAGTTCCTACAATAACTCCTTTTTCCAGCCCTTCTTTAACATGTTTGACATATTTTCTTTCATCGAAAACTGGGGCATGGTTGTCTGTGGCACGTTTACGGCGCCATGATTTGGAAGGGGCTGATGAAGATCTTGGATTTTCTTTAGGATGAATGTTTAAAAAATATGGCTGGTAGAATATTGGATGATTTGGACACAGAAACAATACTTTGAATGCAAATGAAATAACTTGATTGTTAAAGCACCTTGGTGAAACAGATCTAATGATGTTATTGTCTGTAACATAACCTGTAGATTCAGGTATATCTACTATGATGGAGCACTGTTGGTAAGTATTTGGAAGGTAATCTGTTAATGAAATGATATTCTGATCTGATGCTATACAGTCATCATAGAAACTATGTAAAACAATAAAATGCATGTTATCAGATGATTTTAATTTTTGAGACGTCTGTGGATATGAATGAGACGATATACATTTTTGTCCTTGGAGTTTTATAGTCACTGGTATCAATGTGTAATTTGAGATATGTAACTGTGATTTAATGTTGAGATGTAATGGTTCCTTTCTTTCTGAACACAAAATAGACTCTTTTAAATACAAGATGCCTGAGCTGTAATCCAAATGAATATAATTAAGCACTGATGCACTGCCTGTGTCCTGTAAAGAGTGCCTCGAATTTTTTCCTAGTGAAGCATTAAATATAACTGTTCCTTTGGAGTTATCTTCTGAGACATGGATATCAAAAGAATGCACCATTGAAATCCTGATTATAAATATTGTTATGGCACAAAGAAATGAATGTGACATTCTGCCGTACTTATTCCATAGCAACAATATTTTCTTTCTAGAACCCACTTTTCTGCAGCAATGTTCATTATACTCAGACTTCATTCTCTGTTCTTGAAATTTTTTTTTATCCCAATTCATTCCCACTCAGGTGAGATTGAACCACCTTGTCGATGGGTCTGCATTCGAAGCAAATATTTCCGAAAAAAAACGTTCTCTCCCGCAAAACTCCAAGTAGTATCTCACAATTACACGGTTCGTGGATAGTTTTAGACATTCATAACGTTTTACATCATAAAAATGTTTACATTGTAAAGTAAAATATATTTGACAAAATCCACTAAAGGTATATTGATATTCGAATGAAAATGGCGAAACGGAAACACTATACGGCTCTTTGATTCACCCCCTATTCGGCCTTGATTCGAACTTCACATAATAAATGCACCAAAAAAAAGGACTATCGAAAATCGCATTAATAAAGTCACTAATCAAGCAATGTTTCATAGTAAAATAAATTGCAAACTTAAACTAATCATAGAATAACATTTAAAATGAGAACTGACTCATATAAATGGGGAGGTCAAAACACTCGCCGTGGTTGGCATTGTCACGTGACTCAAACTAACATTATCAGTGACATTAGTATAGGTAAGAAGATATTTCGGCCCTTAATAACATATTATTATGAAGTGTTAGTGCCTAATAGCTAGCTACCTCAAGTTTATATTGTCCGAAATATTGCCTCTATTCCGGCCCTTGGACGTAGTTTCATAGTTGTTGGAGAAGACCCCTGTTTTATGGAGATTTTGCGCACCACCGAAGACTCCCTTTACAATGACTTTACAACTAGTGATGGGCATCACCGTTTCTTCGTAATAAGTGACTCTGTGATCTTTGAACTTTTGAATGGCCGACGCAGTAACTTTGGCCTAACTGATTAATGATGATGACTGAACTACAAAATATCCATCTGTTCCCAATATATCTGGGTTTTACAGATCGGATTTAAATAAAGTTTTGAAAACTCTTCCGTAGTTCCGGGGTGCGGACAATCACCACAAATTATGGCCCAGTTTTTCTGTCCCCGTTTTTTCTTCGATATAATCAGTTATGACACAATGTAGCGTCTTAAACGAAGATCGTAATAACTTGACATTGTGGAGTGGAAAAGGGTTTATTCGTAAAGGCTATTATTTACCTGTAACTTTTGCGTAACAAATAAAGCTACCTCGGTAGTTTGAGAAATCGTTTTAGTTGAGGGATCGTGACGTTCACTGACTGTAGCTTAGCTAGCTCACATGCCTCGGTTTATTGTCCCTTACAAATGACTAGACACTTTTCGACCTGCATTCTGTGTTTTACTGGCTGCGCATGTAGAAGATACTTTTCTGCATTTAATTGAGCTAATGAAGATGGCTATGTTGTGTGCAGTGAGGGAAATTTTGCCAGGAGAGACATGATATTAGTCTTGATCGTCACACTATCAAAGTTTAATAGACATTCAAGTCTCGATCGTCACACAACGCAATATTTTCATAGGCAAAACCGTCCTTATGTCAATTCGTCCCTGATAAATAAATATGCTTTGATACGACTCTAAGACGATATTTTGATAGTTCCTTCTAAATTAAATGGCAAATTGAACAACTTAAAATGTTTGCAATCGTAAATTCTTAAAGAATTCGCAATTATTTTTTACCTTTTCTTAAGAACCTGAGGCGAAGTGGTAAAGAGGGCGAAATGACGTTTAAATACCTTTATTGACTTCTAAATCTGAGAGCTAGTAACAAGGAAAGATAACTCAGTCCATACTAAACCGACATCAGACAACAGTTAACTTATAAATTAATCTATTTTACCCTATTTTGCTAAATAAAGAGAAAACTAATAAATGTACCACAAATTTAGATCTTTTTACATGAAACAAGATTAAAGAGTTGTCCATTATTAAACTGAAGCAGAGTAAAATCTTTCAGAGTCACTGCCAAGATAAAGGCACCTTTTTTTTTAAGGAAGAAGGGGGCTGAATTATTTTTTCAATTCATTCGGTTTCCTTTTTTTAAACCAAAAGAAAATAATTCTACAGCGTTATTGTTTTCTGTTTCTTTAATTCTACAACGTTATTGTTTTCTGTTTCTTTATTTTTCTGGTTTGAAGAAAATGGGAGAAGCCAGTTTGTTTAAATTTTAATTTCTGCATTTTGGTTAAATAAATTATATTTATGATTTGTTAGTTTTTACATCCTACATTTCTGAACCTGCTAGAAGGCTATGAATGTTAAAGATCCGACAGTAGAATATTGAAAAAGAGAAGATTAATACCGCTGTCCTGGCAAAATTTCACTCATTGTACACTGCATGATTTTGCCAATATTCATTAGTGCTATTACTTGAAGAGGAGTAAGATGTCTACGCCATTCATTTCATATTTTCATTTTCAATGGAGACGGGCTTTGCCATGCAGTGTGCAATGATAGAAATTTATACAGGACAGCATCATTAAGAGTGCATGGTCTGTAGCACACAGTGCCTTGGTTTATTGTCCCTTACAAATGACTAGACACTTTTTCTATGCCAGCCCTTGCAACCTGCATTCTGAGTTTTACTGGCTGTGTATGTAGAAGATACTTTTCTGCATCTAATTGAGCTAATGAAGATGGACAACACTATGTTGTGTGCAGTGAGGGAATATTGTGAGTGGCATGAGCCTCCTCCTTAACGATCTTTGACATTTACAGTGCAACAACAGGGGCTCAGTTTAACTAGAGATCAGATGGAAACTGCTAGATAAAGGAGTGATGCCAAAGGAACAATGAATCTTGTCATTTACTTTGATAAAAGAATTATTAGATGTCATAGAATTAGCTCATTGTTTGAAAATAGACTGTGTTGTTCTTTTGCATTCTATAAGGTTGATAGTTTGAAGACATTAGGTAACAAAACCTGTTCATTATTTCATTTATTTAGACCCCACAGTGCACTGATATATCGTACTGTATCATTGGAGGCACACTTCAATATATTCTCTAGAAAATCAACACAAAAACTGATAAAGAATAGACTTTAATTCACTTATTTTCACAATTTAATGAATGTAGACAATAAAATTTCAGCACTGTCCGCCATATTTGTTTACAATGCCAATGGAGACCTGTTACGCTTCGACTCAGATATTTTTCAGTGGATTTTACCATTCTCCATTTAGTCCCTGGTCTCCATGTGGCTGGTATTTCGATAAAATATCATTATTCACCATGAACCATAATTTATGGTGTTTAATCCTCTATTTTCATAGAAAAACCTATTTTAAAGTTTTTTCAATAAGTTGTCATTTAACGGTCTAAGGGAAAGAACTCTTGTAATAATTTCTATTAGGAGTTGTCTTCCCATGATAATAGTCTTGATTGTCACACTATCATAGCTTAATAGACGTTCAAGTCTTTCAGGGTTTGGGAAGTATGAAGAACCTGTAATATTCTGTCAAGTTTTTGTGTTATTTGACAAAGTGATTATTTTGAAGATTCTAATAAAAACAGTTAGAAACAAGGTGTCAACAAAGTACAACTTAAGTCAGGTAACAAAAATGTTTGCTCTGAATTTTATCTGTTTTCCAGGTTTTTGTGAGAATGACAACCTTACAACTATTTACAGACCCAGTTTTTATAGAAAAATAAGAAAGTTATAGTTGATTTAGAATTTTATACATCATTATATTGTATCTTGTCGTTTTGATGAAAGTAATGTAAAAGTAAAATCGCTCTCATTTACTTATAAATGGATACATTTGTATAATATTTGGACAGGATATTCCACATACATTTCAATCCAAATTGAAACAATAAGATAATATAAAACTTCTATAGAAAAGTAGGGAAAAAATTATTTATGCAGTGTTTGATTTAATACGAATCTACCTCAAGCTATTTCTATGTGATTTTCTTTATGTCTATTTGTGGACTAAGTTTTCATCTGAATTAAGATTTTAATTGTTGAAATTGTAATTTCTTTCAGGGTTTGGTAAATATGAAGAGTCTGTAATATCTGTAAAGTTTTTGTGTTATTTGACAAAGTGATTATTTTGAAGATTCTAATAAAAACAGTTAGAAACAAGGTGTCAACAAAGTACAACTTAAGTCGGGTAACAAAAATGTTTGCTCTGAATTTTTTCTGTTTTCCAGGTTTTTGTGAGAATGACAACCTTACAACTATTGACAGTCCCAGCTTTTATTGAAAAATAAGAAAGTTATAGTTGATTTAGAATTTTACCATCATTATATTGTATCTTGTCGTTTTGATGAAAGTAGTGTAAAAGTAAAATCGCTCTCATTTACTTATAAATGGATATATTTGTAAAATATTTGGACAGGGTATTCCAGATACATTGCATTCCAAATTGAAGCAATAAAATAATTTTAGTTTTTGATGCAAAAGTAGAAAAAAAATTATTTCTTCAGTGTTTGATTTGACACGAATCTACCTCAAGCTATTCCTATGTGTTTTTCTTTATGTCTATTTGTGGACTATGTTTTAATCTAAATCAAGATTTTAATGTTTGAAATTGTAATTTCTTTCAGGGTTTGGTAAATATGAAGAGCCTGTAATATCTGTAAAGTTTTTATGTTATTTGAC